TTTTACCGTTATTCGTCATGAAGGTACCCCCATTACGACCCTCCTACATGTCAAGTTATACAGAACGTAACATCAAAACGAGTAAAAAGCATGATGTGACATTATGACTAGACAAAAGTAGTCGCTGACTGTGTCGTTACTACTTTCGACATGTAATCGAAAATGGGTTTAAATAAATCCCTGAAATGTAGATTTTTATGCTATATAGTTTTTTTTTCATACACTTAAAAAACATTTTTTCACGTTTAAATAAAATTTCGGATCGTAAAAGAGATCGCAAATGCCGATGGTTTTTCATTAGACACTTAACAAATACGCCGAAAGGTCAAAAAACGGCAAGTGTGACATTTCAATAGATTTAATAAAATAAACAATATTTATTAATGGAAGACATAGAAAGTTTTATATTTATTGTATAATTTTTACACAGAAAGGGTGGATATGTAAATTGTGATTTGGGTCTGCAGCATTCGTTCGAATTTTGAAAAGCTCTTTATAAAATGAGAGATTTGTGTTTTGTGACAGAAATAAAAATTGCAAATAATCATAACTTCTGCGACGACCTTTTGAAATGTTGTAACAAAACTTTTAATTGTTTTTCCCTTGTCATATACGGAATAAAATGATACATTATTTTCGGAATAATCTATTTGAATTATTATTTAATATTACTCTTAACTTCTCCCCTATCCATATTTTATTTACTATTTTCGGCTTGGCCACAAAACAAAGAACTTTTCGTCCTGGTCAGACGCGGCCAATTAACGATGACGTCATAAGTAAAACTGTTCTTTCTATGAATACCTCTTTTTTTTTTAAGTTTAAACAATGACAAGAATAGCTTTAAAACAAACCTGGTCATATGTTGCGGTGTTACTTGTCCATAAGCGCAAAATCAGTGTTATTAGGAATCATTTGAGTTACAAAATGAAAAAAAGTATTGATTTTAAGGCATATTCCATTTTTACTTTTAATTACGCACATTTTGATATGTTATCTATTCAGAAACTTCGAACAAATACAATAAAGGAGAACTCGAAAGCAAAACGTAGTATTAGTCACCAGCACCGTACGCGACGTCGACTCGGTCAGAAAATCAATAAATTATGATCTTTAAGAAGACTCTTTAACTTCATAAGAAATCATGATTCTAATTTTGAAAAAAAACATCTTATGCTAAGGTGTTGTTTGCTAGATTGAATTATTAAACAGCGTGCTTTTGATATAAAAAAAAAATGGCAAACTGAACATACCCCTGTCAGACAATTCCTTCAAATGTTTATCCAAATTTTGTTCTGTTAAATCTGCTTTGTTATAAAGGGCTATAACATCTTGCTTTCTTGCATTAGCGTCGTTGATAACTTTGTTCATTCTATGGTTCGTCATTAGAATTTCTAGTTCATTCCGGTCTGTTTTATTAAGAATGTCGGAAATATTTCGTAAATCTGAAACAGACTTCAGATTTTTTAACATTCCTATTTCCTTGTCTAATTGGTTAGATTTTGTGTCAACGATGGTTAAGTTTTGTACAACCAGCATAGATTCGACCTTCATGATTTCAAAGTTCCTGTTTAGCTCTGAATACTCCATTTGTAGTGTGGTATAGTTTCTAATCACAATGTCTAGTTCGCGTTGCAGTTTTTCAGTTTTGTTTTCGCATTCTAGGAGTCAAATTTTAACCGATCCACTTTGATTTTGATTTTGGAATCTTGATACTTCGTGTTGTAGTGTTAGCAAAGCTTGTCTCATTTGTGTTATAACCCGATCTTGTTTTCTTTGGGAACGTCTTTGATCCATCAACAAGTCCATAAGAATATCAAAATGCTTATCAGTAAGGGCTGGGTCCTTGATAGGCGATATTTGAGTGACAGTATCAAATAAAAAAGACTGACAATGAACTGAAAACAGCAAGAGAAATACGAATACTTCCAAATCCATGTTGGGCTCTTTCATCATGAAAAATACAGATTTTAACTTCCTTTTTATACGATTTAATAGATTAAACTGTAATCAGTCACTGATATGAACATTATAACAAGTATAAAACTAAGTAAAAGATATATGCAGTAAATAAAACTGATAAATTATATGTTATAAAAATACAATTCATACATTACTTTCTTGCAGAACTGACCTTGATGTTAATATTTTCTGCCTTACGCCTGATCAGACAAACATGTTATTGCATGGTGAAAAATAAATAAACCAGTTCATTGCCGTAAGTTTTTTTTTTTTTTTTTAATAGAAAAAAAAACAGTTACATGTTTCTATTTTTGTCTTGTTCGAAGGATATCACACCACCAAAAAATAATTGAAAAATCTGACACCCTTTGCATGGCTCATTGCTGTAAAACTCTATTGAATCGGGGCCGAAAGGGATCATCAACTACTGTTCTTAAAATTAAATTTGTACACCCCACCCCATGGTTTTACCTTTGCCGTTTTCTCAACAGCTCTTAACGGTAGTAGCAATAGACTTTTACAGTATTTCAAATTTGTAGAAACGTTTACAGACATGCTTTTAGGAAGCCATGGGTCGTCAATTGTTTAATTTATGGTGATCTCCATTTGTGTCATTTTGTTATAATTTGGTTAAAAAAAGACAATTTACGTCCTCCATTACCCGTTTATAACATTTCAACAGATACGAATTATCACCACTTAATAAATTGGCTTAATCCATTTAAGGCTGGGTCTTATTAGTTGACCATGAATTCCCCCGCTTATATTGGTGTTTGAGTTGCTAAACCTTAAGTGTTTTGTTATTTGTCTGCCCGCTCATTGTTTAATGTAATTACAGTGTCCTATAGTTGTTTACGTTATTGTACGTTGGTCCTTTGTGGATACTGTGGATTCATTATTATTCACGGAATACTAATTTTCGTGGATTTCGTGGGTTAAGGTGAACCACGAAATTAAATGTTCAACGAATGACAAATTTTCTATAGGCTTGTATGCCGACTTTGGCAAAACTACGAAATCAAATATCCACGAACATGTAACTTTTCCTTAATCCACTAAAATTGGTAACCACGAAAATAAATGAATCCACAGTAGTTGTTTTATTGGCAATCATACCACATCGCTTTATTTTTACATGGTTTATTCTTTGTTAAGAACAACTGTTTTATTCAAACGTTTGTACTCGGTTATGGCTTATAGGGTTAGAGGATTTACTCGTACCGCTGATTTTGGTAATATATTACGGTTAGACGAGATATCTTTACTAATCCAAGGGGCCTCGTTAGCCAAGTGGTCTTAGTCGTTGAACTACTGTATCACTAGCCTGCCAACTCTAAGGTTGTGAGTTCGAATCCAGCACGTGGTACATATGTATGTTTGCTCAACTCCAATCTTAATTGAGTTATATTGTCAGTTTTCCTACCGATGGTCGGTGGTTTTCTCTGGATACTCGCACGTTCTCCACCAATAAAAACCGAACGGCACAAAATATAACAATAATGCTGTAAGTGGGGTTAAATACCTAATAATTAATCTGACAATCCATGTGTATGTTTCATCAACAGTTAAAACCAATGTTCTTATATTTCATATCAATAAAAAGGCACATTGTGGTACATGTATCCATGTGTCATAAAATTTATTTTTGTTCATGGTGAGTGCTGCTTTCAGTCAATCAAAAATCCACTTGAATTGTTGAACCTTCTACGTTAGTTATCAAAAGTGCTAGCTTTGTCGATTTTTACGATAAAAAAACAAAGGTAAACTGCTTGAATTTAGTTTTGAAAAGCATAATATCTTGTTATAAAATAAACGCATGAGTACTACATTTTAACGCATTTCCGTGTATCTTAACAACATAACAATAACAGATGTTTCTCTTTTGCATATTAACTTCATAAAGATACTTGTATGACCTATCAACAGTTATCAACTTTTTTTAGAAAGATTTGTGACTTAGCACAACTTCTCAATATATTCTATGTGTATGTATAATTTCCATTAGGATGTTTTATGCTGTAGCAGACTTATTTATAAGATACAAGAGGACTTTTAAGATTCATCTGAAGGAATTAAAAAAATGGCCGGTTTTTTCAATACAATTTATTCTGCGTACAGACAAAGTATTTAGTATATCAAGAACTGGATTAACTATTTTTGAATATATTTTATGTTTCAGAAATAGAATACCAGATAGTTCGAATATAATACCAGACCAGGTAAAATAAGGATATGCTCACCTTTATTTATTATCAAACATGGTGCATGTCCATACACAAAACAAATGTTTAAACATTCTACGCCATATTGATCATCTTCTTTATATAAACAAACTAACAAAATACTTTATTTGAACAAGACATAGCTTTAAGTTGTGTACGGCAAACGTCTCTTTTGAAAATAGAAAACGTTTTTTCCCTTTATATTCTCAAAAGTATTATATCTTGGCAAAACTATGCAGGGAAGTCAAATGTATTTCAAAATTTCTCCTTTGTAGATTTACTAGTTGAAACTGTTTACTTACTGAAATATGTATACTGGTAATACAGCAATGGAAATACTTTAAATTTGTCAAAGGTACAGAATTATACAAAATCTCGACAATTTGATGACTAATGATATACAGCACAAACCTTGTAAAAAAAATGTTCTGACAGAAGAAATAATTTAGCATTTTAAAACCGATGACAAAACAATGCTAGTCAGCATTTGTGCTTTATGTTAATTTATCCAAACACTCCGGTGGTTCCGGCAAGACATATGGGTTGGGTAGTAAATGAGGAGCTCGTTGAATAATTGTCAATTCCGTGAATAGATCGGTTTCGCTCTGGAACCATTTTTTTCTTTACTGCATCTATACCGCATCTTCCATATCACATGTACATGTATAATATTGCTCTAATATTATTGTGAATTTACAGAGCAAAATAAACCTATATGTGTACTATCTTATTTAGTAAAGTTATCATACATTTATAAACTCATCTTTTTTTTTGTCAAGGTATGAGTATTGGTTTACATATAATAAGCTTAAAGTATTAACAGTTATATATATTTTATTGAACAGTCAAAATATGTCTACAGTCAGAGAAATATTGCAATGGTTCTACGTATTGCATATAAATATAAATATAACAAATCACACAAAGCAACATCATTGCCTATGACGTCATTTCTCCTTGAGTGTTCGCAATTATTTTTTTCCGTAACTACCAGATCCTTTATATTGGCCGGTATAACCTGTCTTCTCGTCCTGCTGCGCCCTTTCCTTTTCCAGATTCGTCAAATCGTTCTGTATGAACACCCGTATAACCCGAGGTGTCAGACATCCTGCCGACACCCCCTGTTGAAGATTGTGCCTGAAATAAACACAAGACAAAAGAGGCGTTAATCACCAAAATATCAAATTTCAATAGTTGTATTGTGGAAGGACAGTGCCTCGTGTGTGGAGCGAGGTGAATGTAATTACTGACGTTTGGTTGAAACCAAAGATTTTAAACTGGTATTTGCAGTCGGTTCGGAGTCGGAACAATGTTTCACCTTAAGGTTATATAAGGGTCTGAATGGGGTTTCCAAATAGAAACTAATAGACCCAAAAATTAAGAATAGAAAATATGGGCCCATAAAAATAAAGAATAGAGAATAATAGGTTAATAAAATATGACGAAAAGAAACTAATGGGTAGAAAAATGTTCTGAAAATTTAAAGAATAGAGTTGAAACCCCTCCCCCAAATCAAAAAAAAAAAAGTAAAAATATTTTTTTTAAAATACGCCAAAACCTGCTATAATGAAAATAAAATCCTCCTAAAAGTCGACGTTGTAATCTTAAAATTTAACATTTTTTTAAACATTTTAACTAAAATATCTGAATTTCATAATGTACATACCATTTTTTTTCACATCTGGGTTACTGCTACAAATTTTCTCTGCAAGTTGTTTTCGGATATTATCCTCGATGTCTTTGCTCTTTTTGATTTCCTTATAAACTTTAGCAGCCCTGTCCAACTGTCCAAAGCTTCGTTGCATTTAGCTGCATTGGTTAGATCAACTGTTCTATAAAAGTTATATGATTTGAAAAACGAGTTTAGCTGCTTGTTTTACAGATATATATATATATATATATATATATATATATATATATACAGCAGGACCCTACACGGATCCATAGGGGGTCACCACGTGACGGCGTTAAAACAATCACAACGTCATAATTTACCCGCGTTGCGATAATTTATATTATGTGTGTTTTTCTTTTGGCTAAAACATATACATTATTGTGTTTTATCATATGAAAATCGGTTCCTACTATGAGGCATGGGCAACATCTATTGAAATTTAATCAATAATTATCATAACTATTTTTAATCAATACTTATCATTATTTTAGTTAGTTGTCAAATTAATTCATTATTATTTATAGTAAATAAATGAAAACACTGCGGATTTTAAAGGATAAAGATATAAGCGGCGTAGCATTTTTATGAATGGAAAACTGCTTGCGACATCATCAAAAATGCTTCGTGACCGAGCAGAATAATATTCTTATAAAATATCTTCAGTCAAATATTAATCAAAATTTCTATGTGTAATGAGTATACAATATAAAGTAGGCGGATTGAATATTTTTTAATTACTTTGGGTGATGTATTATAGGTAAAGTAGTGATTTGGTTTAATTTAATTAGGTCAAAATAATAATTGCCTACAACCAAGTCATTTTAACTTTTGTGGAAAGTAGTCTCATTGGCAATCATACCACATCTCCTTATTTTATATGTATTGTTTATTTCAAGCTTTGCGCGGATAATAGCAGTCAAAAATATCTATATATAGATTTTCCCCCGTTTATGAATATAAATGTCCCTATTTTTAAATATATCTGTTTAATAATGAATACTTTATGTTCGATGACGTCTAATACGTTACTGTTAACATGCGCAATTCCAACCAACTAAGAAATGTACATTCCGTAAAAAAGGAACATCACTCTCAAGGAAAGGAATTTTCGCGTTCGTCACATATTTTGGTAGGATGTTTTCCATGTGAATGTTTAATATCAAGGTACAAAAAAAGGACACCAGTCCCAATCAACGTTGGATTTAGAAAGTGTGACTTGAGGCGGCTTAATTTAATTTGTATATTATGTTTTTTTTTCTTTATCAATTATAGCCATAGTTTATGAATCACAGTAAAGGAATAATTTTGTGATAAGAAGGGCTAAGTAAGTAATGGCTTTATTCATTTCCTTTAATGACCAATACATGAGTTTTATTACTGAAGAATGTATTGTAACTATACTGAAGTAGGTTTATTTCTCTCATTATGAAGAGAAGAATATTGAAGGAAGAAATGAATTAATTTCGGACAAATAAACATTGAGGGACTTATTTTTTTATGTCATTATTTTGGACGCGTTATTGAACAAAATTTGAAATAAGGTAATTTGCTTGATTCTTTTGAGTCATGAGAAACAATATGAATGTTTCAAAATGTTGTAGTTTGGGAAAACATGAAATGAATTCGTTACGTATTTCAATATCCTTCTTTCATAACGAAAGAATTCAACACGTTTCTTCCACTGCATGTCATAAAAATACATATTCAATTAAATTCCATCGTTACTCGAGACATCCTTTCCGATTGTTACTCAAGATAACATTCTGATTGTTTCTCAAATATATGCCTTCCAATTGTTTTTCAAAGATATGCCTTCCAATTGTTGCTTAACATCACCCTTCTAATTGTCACTCAGGATATACCGTCCAATTGAAACTAAGGACGATTCTTCTGATGGACACTAATGACAACCCTTCCGGTTGTTTCCCTAGTAAACCCATCAGATTTTCACTCAATATATGCCTTACAATTGGTCAACGAGATCACGTTCCGATTTATATTCAAGACAATCTGTCGACTATAACTCAAGATAACCTTTCCGATTTTATTACAAAAACAATAATTTTTCCGTGTCCGTGTGCGCTGAAATTGGTAACATCCATTTAAACTGAAACTTTAGTAACAGGAAAACTAATTGAGTTTTTTAAAGAGCCAGGTCAACACCTCGCATGAGCCCCATAAATCGGAAAAATTGGCAAATCTGGTTAGTTCTTGTTTTGAGATGAAAACGTAACATTTGTCTTGTGTGAATATTTTAACCTCTAGTTGAATGTTTGTGACGTAAGGTTTTTGTCTTAATGACGTATACCCCACATCTCATTTGGCATAGAGGTAAGACGGATGTTAAGCAACGTTAAGGTCCTTAAAGATAGAAAAAGATGAGTGTTCATAGACCAATTCAATTTTTTAATTCTAATTTGCATCAACGAGTTTACAGCCTAAATCCATTTGGAAAGAACATCTACGTCTTATCTTTCATGCAAGTTAAACACGGCCCCTAGCAAAAAATGTATATTCATAATAACTTGTCATGTCGAACCTCAATATTGCTTTGGAATAAAAATGTATGCTCTCAACAACATGATACTATCAACAATATGGTGGTTAGTCAAATCTCAAACATTGTAAAACAATGAAGTTTTGGTTGTAAATCGAAAAAGTAGATTGATGCAAAACATTTGAAATTAACATCAGTGTGATTATTGGTTGTAAATAATCTTACACTCGCCAATATGAACAGTAATTAAAATGAAAAAAAGATTTTTCCTGTATTCAGCACAATCATTGACATGACTTTGAAAAATTTTAAAGAGATATTAAACCCTATATAGATGGCGTGACATTAACCTTCATGGAATACATTGTTATAGCAGAGATAAATATCATACCTCAGATTGTAGTGTCAAGTCCACGGATAGTCTTTGTGAATCTGCTATAAAAGTCCTTTCATCAATACTACCAGTTATATTGGAGAAAGTCTTTAATATCTGATGTTCGTATAAAAACCAAATCATGTTTAGTGTTAACTGACATTAAATCAGTCAAAATGAAACTGAATAAACAGATTAGTTTTTCTCGTATCCGGATATTCTACATTTATGAGACATTAAAACAATGAAATCACATACCCGGACATTTTTCTTTGTTGTTAATCTTTTAAAAGTGTCCAACATAATAATAGTATTTGTAAAAATATATACTGTCATGTCAAAACTATTTAATCTTTAAACATAATATCATTGAAGAATACTGTATATGTTATTCTTATCTATGATATTAAGTCGAAAGGTTTCAAAATGCCACCATATAGTTTGAATAATGATATTTTAAAATTAATGAAATAATATCGTCTGAGAAGCCGAAGTAAAAAATGTGTGCGGGTTTTGCAATAATATTTTTTATCATTGAACTTGCAATTCATGTATTAGCTGCATACAAGTGTAACGAAAAGTTAGCCATCCCTTAGGTAATTTAAACCTTTACATAAATAAGAATGACATTAACGTGTTCTTAACTTTGCAACTGAATGTGAGATAATTTTGTTAAAAACAAATTGAAAAATCTAATGTCAGAATAAAACTATTTTTTTTCTTCAATTTTATAGTTACTGTTATATACACCCATTTCAAAATCATCCTGACAAAATATCAAATTCAAACTACACATCAGTACAGAAAAACTTCATAGTAAACCAAATATGTACAGAAGTAAGTCAATAATTAGACTGTAGTTCAGATTTCTGCTGCAAAATTGTTATAGTTTGATTGACAGATTTTCCAAAGCATTTTCTTTTTTTCTACTTTATACTCAGGCTAGTTTTTTTGTTATACTGTATATCGAGAAAGAAGGAGAAAAACCTAACTAGCACACATCTGAGTAAACTAGGACTATTCAGTGGAATGTGGCAAAGTGTGTGTTTAAAACTGACGTAGCATTTATGGTAATGAGGAACTTAGTTATTTCGAATGATTATTTATAACCTAATCCATGATGACAGGTTATTTGTGCAATTATATTTTAGATTTACATTTAAAGAGGATAATAGATGTTTGCAACTGTAAATGAATTTCAAAATCGAAAATACGTTAAACCACCGACAAACATTAGCTTTATTTCAGTCACCTAAGTAGGAAATGTGTTATGTCAGTTACTTTCCCTTCAAAACAACAAATCTTGTAATAGAAGTTGAGTCCACATGTAGCCCATTCCCTGGTAGAATCCTCAAATATGTTATTGCCAACCCATTTGCTGTGTACCCATTGCCCCTATTCAAATAAGCAAATGGAAGATATTGCCTCACAGTCCCTATTGCATCTGATGCAGGAATATTGCTTGTGGTATTTAGTAGACTTTTCTTAATCGGATCGGAAATTTAAATTCACCCCAAAAAAATTACATAAGATTCAAGGCTAATAATTGTGTACGCCAGACGTGCGTTTCGTCTACTAAAAACTCATCAGTGAAGCTCGAATCTAAAATAAAAACTAAATAAAGTTTGAAGTTGAATAGCATAAAGGACCCAAAATTCCGACAGGTTTATTTATTTTTTTCGATATAGATAATTCAGTGTCACGTTGGCATTTTGTAGAATTAAGTTTTTAATATTTTGTTCAGGAATGACATGTAAACATCCACAAGTTGTGCCTGAAAAGATTCGTTTAGTTTATAAAGTCTATGTGTAAATTACTTTTACAAACACAAATTACAAACATGTAGCGTGGAATGATTTTGTGTTTATAATGAAATATGCAAAAATTATGTAACAATATTTGAAGTATAAAATATAGACTCTTTTCACTAATTCTTACCAGAGTTATAGTGTTTGCAACCGAATGATTATTTTCGTTTGATCTCTAATTTTCATTGGTCAGTATTGAATTATGACGACAAATGTTCTTGTTATCCTACATTGTATTAAAGTCCTTGAAGTCACGGAAAAAGGCGATCAGGCCTAGTGACGTCACATATAGACTAATCGTTTTGCAGAACATTGAAAAGGATAAATAAAGTTTTTCTTCATATTGCCAAAAGACATTAGACAAACAGATAACACCACCGAATCTCCTGTCAAACGATACTTATACATTATTGACAGTTAAATTTTCAACATAAAAAAAGTTCAGCAAACCTCGCGTTGAAATATAACTGTTTCGACTGGAGAAAAATCGTGTCACACTTGATGCTGCTTTAGAATCTATATTAATATTCAATTTCCAGTAGGACTTGACAACTTTTAAATTTTGAGTGAAACACATAGAGGGGATATTAGCCCTATTTCTTTTAATATTGATAGTACTGCGTCGAATTAATTAGTTTCAAAATGTTTTAAACCCTCTTGCTACCTAATGAGGGATACATCTGTCCACACCGAATGTGACAAAAGGACACATATATCCATATTTTTCAATTATGCATGCACCTGTTCATTTCTGTATCACTTTCAAATAAAACAATGAAGACCATAAAGTGTATTCTTTTTCTTCAATTGGTCTCCAATGTAACGTCAACAGGACGCGGTATCATATATCGAATGACGTCCTAGACGGGCATTGTGACGTCTCACACGTCAAGCTGCTGTATATCCTGGCAAACAATATTTTACTTTATTAAGTCTTTAGTCACCAATGCAGTGTTAGGAATACTGTTGTGTGTCTTTTCCTCGCTTTTCTTTATTTGCCATGGTGTTGTTCCACTAATAATTGTTGGTAGATTCTTCTTGTATTTTATTTGTTAAAATTCCTGGTATTCACTTGATCGAAAATTGTATAACTGTCTCAACTTTATAAAATTGCTTTCTTATTTGATTAAAACATTCCATTTTTATTCTTTTTAACTAATTAATACTTGGTTAAAAACAACCATCTTGATGAAACAAATAAGACATTCCTTGTCATATGGGTTAACAGTTGAATACCCATATCATTGTTATTGCATTTTAATGTAGAGTACCAGGTGTAGAAACTTGTGTAGATTCAAGTACTACGAAGAGGTAGTGTTTTGGTCCGTAAAATGCATATGAATAGATCTACTCTGCAAAAGAAGTGTAAACGAACAATTTCTTACGATGCTCATGTAGAAGGCTTTCGAGATTACGATTTTTCATTCTTCAAGTCGGACTCTATGTCAAAGTATGATTATTTGTATTTGGGCTATTTTTATTAAAGTGATCAATAATGTTAACTTTGATATTCAATTCAGTATTGGAAATTATTTTACCTCATATACATTTCTAGGAATATGATTGGTTAAAAGCGTCCGCGTGGAGACCGTGTATATTCCATATTAGGTTAGCAGGGAGGCGGGGCTCATTTCAATACACGGTTAGTAGTGGAGTTATGACTTTGGCACTATTTGCTTATTTGAATGTATTGAAAGTGATGTTTAATATTGTTATATCAAGGTTGTTGATATTAAATTGTTATTTTTGACATTAATTTTTATTGTGCAGACCAATGGAAGTAGGTTCTTTAAATTGAACACTTGAACACTTTAATATAAACATAAGTAGATGTGGTATGATTGCAAATGAGACAACTCTAGTCTAAATTCAACAAATAAAGATAGTCGGTAAGATAAATTCGTTACTCCGCTCTCATCCCATATGGAATTTACTGACCCCGTATATATCGTATTAGGTCACTAACACACTATGAAACTAATATTCCACGTTTCATGTCATATAAAAAGTTAAACGAGGTAAGCTGAAAGCCAAAAAGATCAAAAGTGTTCATGATAAAGAGAAAACAATAAAAGCAGTCACGCACTTATTTTCTTACATCTGCATGATCTACAAGTACACATTCAATAATCAAAAGGGCGAAAACACATTTACCTGGTTTTCTTTACAAAATCATCTTATACCTTATTTGAAGGATCGTATTTCTTCAATTGTAACGCAACAATGAATCTCATCATAGTAATAAAATGTATTAACAATTTTCGTAATTTTTATCATTCACATGGCTTTTTACGCAGACAGTCAAGATGTGACAATTACTTTCGCAAACGCTGGCTACTGACTGGAGGATCACATATAGCTTAGGTTAGTAAAGTTTGTTTGATTTGATATACGTTATATCTACCAAACTGTTAACTGATGTAATTGGAAACCATTTTATTTTCATTTCTTTGTGAGGCAACTACTTGACTGTCAGTCCTCAAAGTCGCCAGGTAGACCATATATAAGTACTAGCAATAACTTAAAGTTGAATTTTGTCCTTAAATTAAGATCACACATTACAATTCCCTATTTCATGTCACAAAGGAATGTGATGTCACCAGATTTAAGTTGATATACTTTGACTTATGTTTTTTGCAACCCAAATTTGATAACATTTCTATTCTAGATGATTGTATTTAAACTTACAGTGCTAGTTCTAAAGGAATAAAACCACTAATGTATAGCCCCATTGCATTCTATGTAAAATATGCAGTTTCAAGCAGATTAGTTTAAATAATTAAACGCAGTACTATACTTTGTCTTAAGTTCACATAAAATGGCAGTCATTTCATGTCAACACTATACCTTGTCCTGATTTGTGCTGAAAAATTCAACATACCTTGAACTGATATTAAAGTGCACTGGTTCCCGGAAGTTAGGTAGTACAAAAAAGGTACTTCGGATCTGAACCATAGGGCAAATGTACCCTCGTATCATCATGTCATATATATTTTTTCATTATTCAAAAAACTCTCAACAAGGGTTCTACAGCGATTACAAGTCCTTAAGCTTTCGTTTGATACCAAATTTACCAAAACATTTTAGTTATTGACAAAATTACAGCTATGCGTAGGAACTATTTTTTTTAAATATGTACTACTTTCTTGTATGTTCTTTCTGACCGGGCCCGAATTAGTGGTTCTTTACCTATGGGAAACTTGGTCTTGACGGCTCGGCTGTTTCTTTTATTAATTTTTGTTGTTGCTTTAATTCGTTCAAAGATATATAGTTCTGCTATTAGAGTTTAATGTTTACACAAAACTTTCTTGTCTATATTGTATGTCTTATTAAGTATTGCCTGGTATATTATTAGTTTTACGCTCTTTGCGCGTTAGATAATCCTTGCAA